TAGTTTACGAATTACGATCCTAATTGTGTCCCAGTTCTCTTGACAGTCAAGCTTAATGAAATTTGAGTACGTAGAAGCATATTGTTTTTCATTGTTGGCTACAGAGAACTAGGGTTTTAGCGTTATTCACCGCCACAAGTCATGTATATACATTTATCAAATCATCACATCGTCTATCTTTTTTTTACTGCACATTCTGTGTAGATTTATTACACATTGCTTCTTCAGTTCTTCTTCCGGATCAAACATGTGAATGATTAGAACTATGAAAAAAGTGACCCCATTTTCTCTCCAAGAAATCGAATACTTGAGAAAGGGGCAATCGATCTAAAAAGATCTGATAGTTGTCGAACCCTTAGATTATACCGTATACACATTGCTCGGCGGAGCAGTGTCGCTGTGTGTGTGGCTGGCCATGAGAACTTTACACTGAAAAAAAAATTATTTTTGTCAAAATGATTACAGGGTTTTCACGAACTTGTCCTACTAATTAGAGTTGAACTTGACTTATGTATTAGACCATTTTTGTCTAGACCTTTTATGTGAGATATGGATTAATATCTCAACACACAATCTTTGAAAAAAAAAACTAGGGTTTTGTTAGCCTCAAGGGTTAGTAATTTCGTCCAATTATCATGAATCATGGTCGTCTTCTTTGTTTACTGCACATTCTTTTTTAGATTTATTAACTTCGCGTTCCTAATTGTCTCTGTTTCTTAAGTTCAAATCGATCTGTGATGTGTAATAATACAACGGTCGTTTCTCCGGTCGATATCTCTTTTACTGCTCCGACGGCCTCCTCTTCTTCTGCTCTATTTTCAACTGGCGACATAGCCTCTGCTTCTGCCCAACGATAAAGGACTTAAAACTGAGGAAGCAAAAGACGTTGTACCAAGAACTGTGGGATCTTACTGACGTGGGATGCACGGTGAAGAGTTGTTAAATCAGTTGGTGAGGGATGAGGGTCCTTCCGTCACTAAAACAGATCTGCTTCGATGGGCTAAACTTTTTGACAAGGAGGGCAAAAATCAACAAACACTCGAAATCTATGAGTGGATGATGAGACAGAAAATGACTCTTTCTGCCTCCAAGCATGGAGTTCATGTGGATCTTATTGGAAAGACTAAAGGCTTAGCAGCGGCTGAAAACTGCTTCAACAACTTGGACCCTTGTGACAGGAATCACTCCACTTACCTGAAGCTCTTGAAATGGTATTGTCGTGGGCTCGAGGAAGACAAGGCTAGGCAAAGGCTCTTTTCCGGAAAATGGATGATCTCAAACTTGTCATTAATTGTTCACCCTTTAACGATATGATGACTTTGTACATTGTTAATGAAAG